TATTAAAAAAAAAAACTATAAAATAATTCAATTTAATTTACTAAAATATTGTTTATATTTGTCGGGGTTATTAAAAAAAAAAACTATAAAATAATTCAATTCAATTTAATTTACTAAAAATAATTATTGAACAAGAATAAAATATTATTTTTGCTAAATAATATTAAGTTATTATATTTCTCTTAAAAAAGGATTAAAATCTTTATTGAAATATATTTAAAAAAGATAGGATTATCTTTTTTTGAAAGGTTACAATATAAACGTCCTGCAAATTTTTCCACATTACGTTAAATAACAACTAACCCACGGGTGCTATTTATAGTTAATTTTTTCACATGGTCCATAACATGTCAAATAACAAAAAATCAAGGAATTTCCATACTTTCAAATGATCTGCTGCCAACAAATTTTGATAGCTGTTCGGTGATTTCACAAGTGTCGATGAGTTTCGAAGTGTACATATGATCTGGGTGTTTTTGCGTTACGATCGGTAAATCGTTGACTATTTTATCGGCTTCCAAGAATTGTTTTTTAATTATCATGTTCTCATTATCCTCTATGATAGAAGGAACATTAATGCAACTAATCCATTTACCAAGTTTATCAGAAATATGAGAAGCTGTAGGTCGTTTTTGTGGATCAGAATCCATGCATCGATTGGCTAATTCAATGTAGCAATCAGGAGTTCCAGATGCAAAATTTGGTCGTAGTCCTTCGCATATATCTAATGAGAGGCTAAAATCGAATGGACGGCCATCAAAAGGTCTTTGACCAGTTGTTATTTCAGCCATAATAACACCAAAACTATAAATATCAGCTGCTTGTGTGAGAGGTTTTCCTTTTAAAACCTCAGGAGCGATGTAAGGTAAGACGCCATAGATCCCTACGTTGTTTTTTGTGGATAAAGAGAGTCCTAAATCGGCAATATATGCATTATCTATAGCATGCTGTAAGATGTTACCACTATGCAAATCTCGATGAATATAATCTTGAAAATGAATCATATCAAGGTCATAAGTTATACATTGTAACAAATTTAACTTTCTTTTCCAGTCCAATCGTGCTATTTCGACAAGATTTTTACTTAATGAATTTTTTCTAGCATATTCTAAAATAAGAACATAACAACCATCATATTTTGTTATTCCATAACATTTTAAAAATGACGGATATACATCTCTAATGTCACAAAATATTTTTAATTCTTTTATGAATTCTATTCGATCATCAAACTCAAGCATTTTAAGCGCGACAAATGAATCTAAGTTTGTACTCTTATTAATCCAACGAGCAACATATACAGTTGCAAACCCCCCTTTTCCTATTTCTTCGATAGCATTAAATTCATAATTGATATTTATTTTCGATCAACATGTTTTTTAAATCATCGTCAACATCTAATCTTTTAGATGCACAATCGTATGCAACTAAAAAATATATATATACCGGTATAGATAGATTTGAAATTACTAAACAGTAGTAATAATTAATTAATAATACAAATTAAAAAATAATTTACCTATCATCAAATCCTTCGTTCTAATCATATACAAAAGTATTTTATTAAATTAATACTTAAACAAATAAAAATTAAATAATATATTTTTTACCTTCGAAACCAATGATTGGCCTTTTGTATATCTCTTTCAACTCCTATTCCATTTCGATAACATAATGCAACAAACGAAATTGCAGCAACACAACCCACATCTGCAGCTTTTTTATAGTATTCGAATGCTTTATGGTCATCCTTTATGACACCGCTTCCAGAATAATAACAATCACCAATATCAAATGCTGCATAAGCATACCCCATTTCTGCTGATTTTTGATAATAGAAGAATGCCTTATGTTCATCCTTTTCAACTCCAATTCCATACCGATAACAATATCCAACATTACTCATCGTAGTAGCATTTCTCATCTCTGTAGATTTTTGATAATAAAAGAATGCTTTATGTTCATCCTTTTCAACCCCAATTCCATAAAGATAATAATTTCCAAGCACACGGATTCCTTCAGTGTTCCCCATCTCTGCAGATTTTTGATAATAAGTGAATGCTTTATGCTTATCCTTTTCAACACCAATTCCTTTTTCATAACAATATCCAACATTGCATGTTCCGGCACTATTACCCATACTCGAAGCTACTTCATTATATATGAAATATTTATTTTCATCTTTCACAGTTCCTATTCCGTAATAATAACATTGACCAATTTGAAATATTCCTACAATGTGACCCATGTCTGCAGATTTTTGATAGTATTCGAAGGCTTTATAATCATCTTTGTTAACACCGATTCCATGATTGTAGCAATAGCCAACTTGAAACGTTCCGAGATCATGACCAAGTATCGCTGCACTTTGATAATATTTAAATGCCGCAAGTTCATCCTTTATAACACCAATACCATGTTGAAATGCATATCCAAGATTATAAAATTTAGTTGTATTTTCTTGATTCATTATCGTTATATTCATTTTCGATGATAAAATTGAAAAAGAATAAACAATACGCCATCTTTTCTAAATAGTATTGCTTTATGCATATATGCATGCAAATTTTAAACACTGCATTTTTGTTTTCCTTATTAACCATAAGTAATTTATTTATAACATATACTACGTATACGAATAATTTTTTAATCGAAAACTATAATATCAAACAATTTTTAAAAAAAAAACTTTTTTCAAAAAAATTCAGGATTTACATTTAAAAAAAAAATCAAAGTTATATTATTATAATTGTCACATTCAGTGTTGAAAATTCAGCATCAGGGTTGTGGGCGGGCCGCACATTACATATTTATCCTGGTGCGCTACAGCGCACATAAACAAATAGCTTATATATATATATTTCGCAATTAATTTATAAGATAACAGCAGATAGTGCTAAAATATTTTATTATTTATTTATTTATGCAATACAATTTAATTTATTAATATTTAACTGGCAGCCCTTTTGGTATGTCGTATGACAAATTTATCCATTTGTTAAATCAATATAAGTTTGATATCGATAAAAATTAAAGATATAATTTAATTCAATATGTTTTATTTGGATTATTAATATTAATTAAACGTAAGTTAGTTGCATAAAAAATATAGCGCACATCAAAGCTTATTACAAATATGAATTTAAAAATTTTAATGTGCGCATTCCGCTCAGAATCTTAAAACCCACGAGCGCTTTGCGCACATATTGTTGATCTTTAAGGCGCGGAAAAATTTTTTGACGTGCGTTCCCCCCTTCCGCACATTAATTTTCAACACTGGTCACATTTTACCATTTATCAAATAGTATTAAACATTAAATGACGTTTTTTATTTAATTAATAATTGTCACGGATTATGCTGAAGTTATGACCTATTTTATTATGAAATTTTAAAAATTTTTAGGGCTTTTTGTTAGGGTTTTTTTTTTAGAGTTAGGTTAGGGTTTAGGGTTAGTGTTATTAGGAAAAGAGTATATGTGAATTTTAGTAGGTTCTATAGATTTAAAATGGGAACCCTAAACTTCAGCATAATCCGTGACAATAATTTTTTAAAGAACTGCTTTTCCATAGAAACCGAAAAATAACCCTCATAATTATAATTTGTTTTGATAGGTACGGCAATCATGTAGATTTAACATTTCAAAAATTTCCAGAGTTACATTTTTAGTCAACGAATACCGAAACCCGTTTCGGCTTTATTATTTGCAAAATCTCTAGATTTTGTTTAACGACTGTACTTGTATTCTGCTTTGAGGTGAGAATAATTATCGGTGACCGGTTATTTTAAAATATAATCTTTGTCAGAAATTAATTTTGTAATATAAAATTAATATGTAATGTTCTTGTTATAATGAAAATTTGCGGTCACGAGTTCATTATTCGCTTTTAAAAATTGCTTAATTAAGAATTGCAACCTCAATTTATCTCGTTTAGGTTTGATAGACTAAATTTACTCTAATAAGTATGGCTTCATTTATGCTAATGAACAGACAGTGTGTTTATGCTAAAGTGAATGGCTGTTAATTACAATTATGAAAGATCATATAGTTATTTGGCGTTAAGATTTTAAAACAGACGTGGGAATCGAAAATTTTTTATTACCAAAGATATTTATAATCTAAAAATTTGTAATTTAATTGATTAATAATCACATAACAAATCACTTTTGTATTTAGTTTAATGTTTGGTTAGATTTATTTAATGCTAATCATGGGATCATCTTCTTACTCGCTTAAGATATTATAATCTCGTGTACATCTTTACAGCTTTCGTATTAATTATATCCTATGTTAAATATTTAAAATGATGAAATATCCATTTGTAAATTTAGTTTTTTATTTTAGCTTTAAGTAAGAACTGCAAACAATACAATTATGTTTACATCAAGAATTTTATTAGACATCACCCAAACATCCAATATATTATAATAACTTGCTTTGTATAGTTTGTTTTAAATTAGAAATAGAATAAAAAGAACCGAATTTTAAGAATAATAGTTACTGATACATTAATTGTAAAGCCTAAAAGATAAATTTATTATTGTTAAATGAATAACGAATTGTGAAAAAATGTAATATTATAAACATAAATAATTTTGTAGAGAAAGTGAACTTAGCATAGAAGAATCAGAAGATCGAAGTCCATCAGCTATGTATTTAAATATAAATCCCAGTTTCATAAAAATATTGAAGCTACTTATACATGAATCTTTGTAAAATGTTTTTTCCTAATTAATAATTGCACACTTTACGTAAATACAATAAACTATATATATATATATATATAATATTTTCAACTATTAATTCGTTTAAAAATTTAAATTAATTAGCCAAAATCTTTTTTGATTTTCAATTATTAAATTATCTGTAATATTTGCATTCAGGTTTATGAGATCGTTTCCCGTGGGCTTCTATTTCCTTATAATTTGTGAGACAACTGAATAAAATATAATACATAATATTAATACCTTTAAAGATTGGCGAGAAACACAAATAATTTTCTTACATCCAACAAAATTCATGTCTACATGTAGGGTTTCCACAATTCATTCTATCAGATCCACCGCTTTTCTGAATTCTACTTTTACACGCAGGACATTGTTTTAATTGCTGCATATATGCTTCAGTTTTCTTCTCTTGTTTCAGTAATATAAGAGATCTTCGTTTTTCTTCTTGTTGCTTGCGCATTTCGGCTTTTTTTAGTTCATCTAATTTTTTTAATTTCAACCTTGTATTTTCTTCTTCAATCTCTATTTCCTTTAAAGCCTGTGATGGTTCATCATTTTTCTTATCATATATAAAACTTTTAAATTTCGAAAAATAAGTTTTTTTTGTTTTAACAACTGTTCCTTCCGCCTCATTTTGCGTATTTGATGGTGATACCGGTTCATTTCTTTCACTTTCACATTCGGGGCAACTGAACCGATTAGTGTCGATTAGGAGTTTATGTACTACACAAGACTTTCGCTTACATTCAGTACATGTCATTATTGGCGCTGCATCTTTAGAAAAACGAATTTTTAATATGAATTAAGCAATAAATATTGACATCTTGCAGAAACAACTCAAAGTTAATTTACCTCCTTCGTCATGAAACTGCCCCGAACCACATTCTTCATTTGCGCACCAATAAAAATTTGGCATTAATGATAATGCAACATTTAGTTTGAGCTTTTCATACCTATAATAAAAGCATAAGAAATTTTTTATAAATATGAGTTACATCCTATTTGTATACTTTATTTGTATATATGTTCAGGTTAACATACCTATTAAATAATTTTTCATTAACAAATTTTTTCACATCCTGCTCTTGTAATACCGCGCGACACTCAACATCTGGACATAAAATGTCAAAATTACCTTTATTCGAAAGTTCATTATCCAAAATATTATCTTTAACATTTTTTTTAACACATTTACGACACATATAATCTTCATGATCGCATTGATCTGTAACTTTTACAATGTCATCTGGATTAACATCTTCATTGCATACAATACATTCTTTCATATTATCTGTAGGATTCTGAGGCTCAAATTCGTTGAAAAAAAATTCTTTTTGAGAATCTTCATCATAAATATATTGATAACCATTAGTCCAAAAAACTGAACCTGCGATATCACATTTCACTGCAAATTCGAGGTAGAGTGGGGCATCCGGGTTTTTATAAATTGAAAGTTCAAATAGATATAAATCTTTTTCAGGCGTAAGACTGTGTGACATCTTTGCTACAACATTATCATGTGTTTCCCAAAGATCAATAGTGTAATCTACTGATACTTTTTTTCCCACTGGAGTAACTTTATGCATCACTATTCTCCCTTCAAGATTAATAGTATCATCGTCTTCACTCACAACTTTTATTGATTCTACAGACACCCCGTTATTCATTTTTTCTTTGGTGCTTTTACTTTTTGAAATTAAACGAATGAAGTAATGAAGTGCTAGACGTTATTACTGTATTCGGTTCGAAGAGTATCAACTTAAAAACTTTAAAGAATGGAACTGGAAAGTTCCTTTTAGATAAGCAAATAGATAGAAAGGTCTTGTGAACATGACGTACATTTGTATTTATGTGCCAAAAGTTCAAATTTCGGAAATATCCATTATCTTTCCGCAGATCTATACTGAAACAAGTATTTAATATCCATAATTTGAAAGTATCTACTAACATTGTAACATGTACAGTACGTACGTATGTACGTACATACGTCTGCACGTAACCTGTAACTATAATAATTCTGTAACGGTAACTATAAACAATTTTATTAGAAGTACGTACTCCGAACGGCAATTTTTAAAAATTATATTATTGACTAAATAAAAAACCATATAAAGACTAATTGTTAATGCAGCAAAACTGGTAATTAGCAACTATTCATAACACAATAAGTAACGTAATTATCAAATGTAAAAAGTAAATTCAAGTCTTATAAATGACTATAATTTTGCAGTTGTGATTAATAAGTCCTTTAGGTTTCGGCCTTTTGGTAGAATTGATATTTTATCGATTCCAATATTATATTTAATCGAAGTACAAATTTAGGTTTGTGATTGGCCAATGAATGAGATTGTGAACAAGCACTACTATTAATTTAAGTAATCCTTACGATAATTTTGCCAAAAATTCATGTTGCAAAATGCGGTCTCTGGCAACCTTTTTTTTTTTCATCTCGATAATGAACTTACTTGGTCGGCTAAACTATTTCCCACTTTTTAAAAATCGAGCTCCAACATACATATGAATTTAGGTGCTTGAGAGCACCCTTAATTTCTGCCGCTATTGTCCGCCTTGAACCAATTTGGAAATAGTTGATATAGCTAGTTTATAAGACCCGGTCGGTGACCGGGTTCGAGTTCCTAATTTTTTGCTAATTCTTAGGCCTCAACATTAATAATTTTTAGG